GCTACTGCTACTGCTACTACTACTACTACTACTACTACTACTACTACTACCACTACCTCTACTACCTCTACTACCTCTACTACCTCTACTACTACTACTACTACTACTACTACTACTACTACTACTCTCACCACCAGCACTAGCACCAGCTTCTGGACATACTTACCGGTCGTTATAACATATTTTATGTGTGTTGTGTCCGGCCAGGACCACCAAGCCTAAACTTCCGAACACACTGCTGTTGTGGTAGACTTCTGCCTTGTAAGATTAGCTGGTCCCTGGAAGCTCTGGCAACGTCCCGTTGAAAGCTTTACAAGTAGGGGGCTCCCGTCAGGGTGCCGGCAGGGCGACCCCACGAGAGCACAACACTGCAATAGTGCGACTCTGCGTTGTCAGTTACAAAAACAAGAAAACTTTGCAAACAAAAACAAAACAGACTTCGGAACCACATATATGGTAGAAACAACTAAAGCAACAATCAGTCACAGTTGGTGTGCTCTCAGCACGCACTTGCCATTCCGAGTTCCAGCATCTTCAAACGTCTGGTGCTTGGACCTTAAATCTGCTGTGGCTCTTGCCTCTCCACTGCCGCCCCGCTGCTTGTAGAGGTCTCTGAATCAGAAGTCTCTGTAGTCTCACAGCATGTGCAGCAAGAGCCTTGGAGCTCTTGAACAGCAGAGCGGATCCATCATAACGAACGGGCGAACACTATGGTGTGGGGCGGGGGCAACAGAAGATGTGCTGATGGTGCTAAGGCTGCTAAGATCTGAGCTCATGCCTGGACGGGGCCGCACGCTCTCGCGCTCGACCGTTCTCCCAGACTGCTCTTTGCAGCCCCGGCACGGTGCGAATACGGCCCGAAACGCTGAAGAGCGCCACCCCTTAGACGCCAACTGTGCCATCTTGAGGGTTTCTACTTGGAGGATCGTGGGACTTAGTAAACAAGGTTATAAGGCCCTTAATTGGGGTTATAAGTATAGTTACCTTAATTATAACCCTACTTACTAAGTCCCATGATCCTTTAAGTAGCCTGGGAATCCGGGGCGAACTCATGCCCACAGCCAGCCAAGCCGAAATCAGGGTCATGTCAGACACCAGGAACTGCATCTAGACTCCCGACCCTCTTGCGGACAGCGCATAGGGGAATGCCTAGCTTGCTTTGCATCTTCGGTATGGCTAATGCTGTTCTACCGTCTCTCTCTGTCTCTCTCTGCCTCTGCCTGACTCCTTTTCCTGCGCTTTGGGGCGACATTCCGAGATGTAGACCGTTCCAAAGCCCGACCATATAGAAGTCAAAGAAGCACGGCTGCGACAGCCGCCAGAACAGAGACGACGGGTCTGAAGCACGCCACCATGAACCTGATGAGTATGCAAACAAACTCATTCAGGGGCGAGGCACTTTGCAGATGCCGCCCGATATGACCATGCAGGGCGTGCGCCACAGTATGACAATGAGCGCTTCTAGAACCGTGGAGGCCGTGAATATCAGAGCAGGGTCAGTTATGTCCCATTGACGGTGGTTCTATACACTGACCTGAGAAGACAAACATGGCAGTTCATGGAGCTTTGCTGCTCTTTTGACTTGGTCAAGCTCTAGGCGCCAGGCCATCCGTACCAACGCGGGCACCAATGCTCGTGGTGATGCGAAACCTGGCCTACTGTGTCGGCCTCCTCCATGAAATGCCTGTGCTGCTTGAAGGCACAGACAGACATGGTAGAGGAAGCAAACTCGAAGACGGCAAACCACCCTGAACTCCAAACCGTGGTCCCCGAAAGTCCCAAAAACGAAAGGTCCCGACCGAGCAGCATTGCATGCAGGAGGTGCTCTTCTATCTGCACCAGAAGAGGGATGCCCAAAGCTAACGACGCGGCATTCATCCACACCTTAACCTTGGCTGAATCATCCGACTAATGGCCATAGTTGTGATGATGCCTGCGACAGGAAACCTCGCGTGCTCAGTGGACCCAATGTCTGTGCTGTGCTTCTTGCGGCCCTGCGGCAGCGAAAGCGCTGTGGTGATTCCCACGGAGGTGCAGTCGCCAAATTAAAACCGGGAGAGTGATCGTCATCACGACTGATGTTGCAATGGACAGGTAGAGCCAGCTTACGCTGCCAATGCTACAGGAAAAGTAATTGTCTGCGAAGCCTGCAGAATCCACAATTGCCAGAATCCAGAGCAGAGTTGCCGTACCCATCCTGTGCAGACGGCGCTTGCCAAGCCTTTTCGGGTTTCGTCCCACATGTCAAACATTCCGACATTGACGCCGAGCCAACTGATTTCTCGGGGGCTTGGGGTTGGGAGTGAGTAAGGGCTCCGAAAATAAGGGGCCATGGACTCTGGAACTCATAAGACTCTAAACCCTAAGCCCTACTGTACACAACAACGCCCAAGCCCTAAATCCTGAAAGCAGTGCATGGCAAGGCGCTTTGCCAAGAGGTCTGTATTGCCAACTCCGGAGATGTCAAACCCCGCTTCGAAGGCATTTCCTAGAGTTGAACGATTATACAATATGTGATATAGAATAAAGAGTACAGAACATACATTACCTTTATCTATGTGTCTATCTATCTATCTATCTATCTATTTATCTATCTATCTATCTATCTATCTATCTATCTATCTATCTATCTCTCTCTCTCTCTCACACGGACTCGAGTCGAGCATGCGACGAACCTCCCAAGCCTATCTATCTATCTATCTATCTATCTATCTATATATCTATATATGATACAATACATATATATATATATATGTATGTATGTATGTATGTGTATGTATATATATATATATATGCATAGACAACAGATGTGGCTTCACGGGTTGCTGATGCTTTGGGGATTGATTCGAGGGCTTCTTGACGGCTTCAGGGTGCTGCGCGACTTTGAGGCTTTAGGACTTTCAACTCTCACAACCTTGAACATCTTGGGATTTGCAGCAAAGGGTTATAGGGCTTCAAAGCGCATGTACACCCACGCAGTTCCACGCATTAGTTCTTGCTGCTGGATGGTTGGCTTTGGGTTTCTGGGGGTACGTCGCGGCTCTAGGAACTTTAGGTGCAGTTGTCGGACTAATGACATGACAAGTACTGCTTCTTGGAAAGCTGCGAAGGGCATCATTGTAGGCTCCGGCTTTCATAAGCACGCGGATGGTGATGTCCACTTCGGCCTGCGCAGGAGGAATGTGCAAGCAAAGGCACGGGCTACCAACCCTCTGCAGATATATCGCGTGAAAGAGACGATCTGTCTAAACCCTATAATTCCCTAACCCCCCAGGTACCTACTATATAGGGCCCTAGGGGTTCTAGTACCCTATAATTATGGTAGGTACCTGGGGGGTTAGGGTAACATGGTAGTAACTGGCAGCAACAGCAAAGTTGAACCGATGAGCCTCATGCCCCTGAATGTCCTCTCGAATGCGCTGCTCATCGATCGGGTTGGTGCAGGATGCCTAGCGAGTGGATCGACAGAAGAAGCCAGGACCCTCCTTGTTCCTTGTACCCTCAAATCGGGGTTTGTGGTCCCAAAATAATGGGCATTTAGGCTCTTATAGAAGGTAGGTAGATGGAGGGTCTAGCAAAGGACGCAGGAGATGTGGGCAGGGTGTGGCTGCATGTAAGTGTTTCGCGACTGGCGAGTGTGCCGCCACAACCGCCGCGTGTCATCACGCACCCATACCGTGACCTAAACATACAGCCCAGGGCCCTACCAGAATGGTTATAGGTGTACATGTACAGACATGTCTACGTATGTATAACTTAATGGTGTGACAAAATGTATGTGTGCATGCATGCATGTATGTACGCATGTGGATATGTACATGTACATGTACAGGTGCGGAACTCCCGTCAACTGGGTGCGCTCGTTTTGGAAAGCTACCCATTCCGCTGCGATTGCTGCCAGCATCGCGGCTTTCCTTTGACTTCTAATGATCTGGAATGAACAGTGCTTCAGCCGGAGAGCCTCGTCCAGCGTCTGGACATGTAAATGCGAGGCCTCGGGTCCATGCTGGGCTGAGGGTTGAAGTCTTTGGGGATTTAAGGGTTAGGGCTGGGGGACGAAGAACCAGACGAGGAGCTTTGAAAGAAATCCACTGTAAGGTCTCGATATTGAAAAGATGTCTGCTTTCTATGGTGCGAAAGCTCATGTGCCGAACGATCTTCGTCACAGAAAGACGGAGGAGGGGCATTCAGCAAAAGGGACACGGAGGCGCAAGAAAACGGATCTTCCGGGCACTGCCAGGAGCTTTCATCAACATCTCCGCTCCATAACTTCTCAGTAAATGGGAAAGAGCCATTATCCGACGAAACCCAGAAGCACACGGAGACATGGATGTAGGGTTTAGGGCTTAGGGGTTTAGGGCTACTGTCAGTCATACAGCACTCTTACAGCACTCTTCAGAGGCGCAAAGGATGATGCCAACCAGAGCCTCTAAACAAGGCCAAGCGACCTGTCTTGAGAGCTCCAGACCCTCCAAGCGTTGCTGATTCAGCTGAGTGATGCGCAGCAAGTTGAACAGCACCAGTGCCAATGGAATGAAATAGTGCAGGAAATGTTGCCAAGGCGTAGAGAAGCTGCGTGTCTTCATGCTGTACCAGGCACAGGCAACGGCTGTGCATAGGGGCAGCAAGAGTATATGCAGAGTGCGCACGATCATCATCTTCATCCAGACGCGCCAGGTCTTCACGAACTGGAAAACGGTCAATTTCAGCAATAGCGACAGGAGGAAACACAATGCTGTCCCCGTGACGTTCACGAACATGAGCATAGTGGCCAGGCTGTAAGAGAGGGCGAAATGGGAAGAAACGAATGCCAACCAAAGAGATCCCAATAGCAAGCCCAGTCCAATCGGAAAGATGACTGTGTATGCCTTGCTTGTTGCTAGCGCTTGTCAAACAATCACTAGCTTGCTGTCCGTTCCTTCCATATTTGACGGCACACCGAAACGAAACTGGACTTCAAAAGCATCCAGGATGCGACAACAGACCGTTGAACAACCTGTCGAGGCTGCGTAGGCATAAGGCAAGTCTTATGCCAGCAAGTGCCTAGGTAAGCCTCATACACGCACCACCTCGGTCTCTGTTAGGAAGGAGATCAAACAGGATCCCCTGAATTTTGTTATAGCACGGAACCAAAATCACACAAATCAAAAAAGAGGTCCCTACAATTGGCCAAGCCACAGCCTCGTGTATATACTGACCGTGGCCTCAGAGATAGACACCACGGAAAACATCCAGTTGAGTTTAGGGAGGTATGTGCAGGAATCTATATACATATATATATATATATATAAGATAACTGAAAAAGGTTTTCCAGAAAGGCGACCCGGTGACGTTTGGAATGACCAAGACATGCGATGCGCTTCGCATCGCCTTCGCGAAAGGGCTTTGCTTCGGTGGACCGCTGAGCAGTTGCCCAATGTCCAGGTTCTGCGGATTTGCCAGCAGGCAGCAGTACCTCAGCGTATATTCCTTGTGTGTTGAATGACTGTAAGGCCATGCCATAGCATGGCATGGTATCACATGTACATACATATAAAATGTATAATACCAGTTTAAAGAAAAATGCACTATCAATAGAAACTAAGCAATAAAAACGTCATACAACACAACACGATACAATGCGACACACTGCACTGCAATACAAATGCATTTATAGAACCGAGTAGAATAGCATAAAACAGAGTAAACAAAAGTGTGTATATATATGATCCCGGTTCTCGG